GTAGAACCTTCGGGCAGACTACTTAAATTAGACAATGACTAAAGTTGTATAAGTGGCTAGTTGTACACTCTTCCCATGGTTGCCCCCTGTGGTTGTAATGCAACCATTAGCCAAATATACTATTAATAAAATCCTGGGTCGCAAGTACTTACCTTAATATTTAAAAAAAAAAAAAAATAATCTATATGCTTCAAATCACAAAGTTATCCAAAAGAGTAATAAATGCTATTCAAAGCTTTATAATAGGTTTAGCCAAACACAAACTAGGTATTATAAGAATGATAAGTAATAGTATAATTATACACAAAAATATGAACTACTGTAATTTATTATAGAATCAACTTGTAACAAAGCAGATTATATATAGGCTTGCATGCAAGATTCAACTTAATAGAACCAGAAAAGATACTTATAAGAATTAGAATAAATCAAGGTCTTCTGCTTATTAATACAACAAAAAAAAACTAGCATAAAACAGCATCAAAAGTATATAGTAGTAGCTTATGAAAAAATGATTTGACATATCAGACAATGCTAAAAGCAAAGGATTTACAAATAACCTTTCACTTTAACAATATAAATAATAATATTTTATTTTAATTTATTTTATCTTTTATTATTATTTTTTCTATTAAGTTATAGGTTATAATATTTTTAGAAAAAGATTTAGAATATATTTAATTGTTTTTTTAAGTATTTTGTTTTTCTGCAATACTAATTCAAAACTTTTGAATAAACTAAATTAAATACTTTTTTTATATTTTATAAAAATATTTATACTTTTTTGTTATTCTTTTTTGTCTCTTTTATTATTATATTTAGAATATATACTGATTATTTTATAGAATTTTTTGAAATTAAAGGATAATAATTTTAGTATTGTGATTAGATTATTATTCTTCAAATAATAGATCTAATATTCAAATCTCTTCTATAATAAAATTTAAAAATTATATCTGTATTATAGTAATTGTTTTTTGACAATTAGTTGAATTTATGTATCTGTAATTTTAAGTATACTAAATTAGGTTTTATTTGTTATTAAAAACTTAAGACATCTATATAAAATGTAATATTATATATATATAAAGAAATGTTTGTTTTTTATTTTAAGACTGATGTTAATGATAGCTAATGCCTTTATTTGTGCTTTTAGTGAATACATTATATATTACTTGTACAAGATAAGCATACAACTAGTTATATGTGTAACTTTTGGTTACCTATTTAAGTAGTCTGCCTAAGGGTTCTACACTAGCTGCCATATCTATAATCTATTAGGAGACTATCTAATTAAATATTCTGATTCTTATACTGTATCTAGACAATTAGCATTCTGGTTCTTGTACATCTAAGTATCATCTAATCTAACATTTAGTCTCTCTTCTATATGTCTGTCAAGCCATTATACAATTATTTTTAAAGCATAACATCTGACTATAAGGCTTCAGAAGCCTTCTTGATAACTATCTATCTATTCTACAAAATATTAACAGAGCTTGCTCTTGCAGAGTTCATTCAGACTTTAGCACTTATTTCATAACATATTTCTAGTACTTTTAGTATACTTCTGTTTTTTCTCCAAACTTCCAATTCAGATAATTTGATAGAACTATGACCAGTCTATTGGTATATCAGATTGACCTGATATCTGTTTTCTCTGATCCTCTTGATTGGAATTTCACTAGCCTGGTTGGTGGTATCCCCTATTCAGAGGTTTTGTCTGTTTGAGTACTTCACATTGGTATCTGTTTCCTAGGTCTAGTCTTTATAGTAGTACTGTCAAAGATCTGTATTATTTCTCTATTCAGGTCTTTCCAAGTGGGCTTCTTGTTCCCCAATTTCTATGGATTTACATAGTCACAAGGACTTATTTTGAGTTTGCACTATCTGATGCCAATTTGCATTTATTTGTATAACCAATTACACAGATGCCCCATGACCTGCCAGTTATGCTGATGCAACTATAATTACAAGTATCTTAATCCAATCATTAGGAACAGTTGCTGTAATACAAATATTACATAGATGATTATCCAAATTTTCACCATCCATAGGTTTTGAACTCACAACCTACCACTTGGGGGGTTGACAACTTATCCACTTCACTAAGTCACCACACTCCTTATATAAAGAAATGTTAAAACTAATGCTGTATAAAACTTTGATACAAATCTACAATAAGATTATTAAACACAAAAGACTAAAAAATCAAGAAAACAGAATCCTACTTGAAAAATTTTAAATTAAAAGGTAGTATAAACTTAACTAAATCTTCTACTTTTTTAACTACATTTTCTATTCTAATTACATTTCTATATTTACATCTGCATTTTCTACTTTTTCAAATATATTAACTACAACTACATCTATATTTATATTGACTTTTCAATTACATCAGCTTTGACTAAAACTTTTGCTTTTGTAAAAAATTCATGTAACAATTATAACATAAGTAATTTTCTTTTTTTTCAAGTTGCCTTTATTAAATTATAAGCTTTGGCTTCTATTTTTTTTCTATTAACGAATGAAATTTATGTGATTTAGTAGTTCTGCATTTTATACATTTCTTAAGTTTAAGCATATTTTTATTAAATAAATTGCAATATAAGATTAACTGAATCCTCTTGAATCCCTTGATATTGTTAAAATATAATGTAAAAGCTTCAAATTTGCTTAGTACATTCAGTCACGTTTCGTAAAAAGGTTTGATTACGCGAAGCCCCTAAAAAATTATTGTCACCTTGTGTTAACTCATGTAACGTCCTAATTTGGGACAGTCTTCCCTGAACTTCTAAGTCTCCAGATTTGTGTATTATTTTTTTCATGTTTTTTTATTTTTTTGATAATATCGAATCCTTGAAATTAAAAAAAAAACCAGTCACCCATAATTCTCGCCATCAATATTATTCAAACCAGTTTCAACCGGTTCACCCGATTTCAGATTATACGGGTGATCCGAGTGATCCGGTTCAGACTTTAACAATTTTATGTATTTTATTGATTTATTCGCTGGCGCAATCAAGTCGCAATCAAAAGTAATTAGAATATTAATTTTATGGAAATTCTAAAATTTAGAATATCAGATTAGTTAGATTATAAAATATACAATATAGTAGCATTAAATTTTAATATCAAAAAATATATATCGATATGCTCTTATAAATATGATGGATTTTATTGATTTTACTATTTTAACAATTATCATGAATTCGATATTAACAATTATCATGGATTCAATATAAAACAATTATCATGAATTCGATATTAACAATTATCATGGATTCAATATAAAACAATTATCATGGATTCAATATAAAACAATTATCATGATTCATATGTGGGGTCAACCCAAATTTCGGTAACTACAAGGTCATGAAAACCACATAGATCCATAGAGCGAAGTGAATGAATGAATGAAGTCATTTAATGCGGCTTATTTATAATTATTTTTCTATAAAAATAATCTATGTTTTTTTTAAAGATACTTTGATATGAATTATATATATGTACTATTAATTGCTTTAAATTAAAGAGAAACATTATTACTTATTAATACATTCTGGAACCTCTAATTTATCACCAAATTTTGACATTATCCATAATAAAACACCATTTGTCCATCCAAAACCATCTTGAACTTGATATTCACCGCCGTTACCTGGCACACCAGTGTCTAACGCGCTATATTCTATGAATTACGAACAAAACCAGTTTAATTATAAAAAATTTATTTATAGTTAGCATTAGAATTTACAAAGAGATTAAAGAAACTTAACATACTTTCAAACATATGCCCAATGTCGGTAGTGCCTTGTAATTTAGTCAATAATCCGGGTATGGATCCACCCGTTGAATACCAAGCGCACATTACAGAAGAAACATAACGTTGACTTGTCTCCAATGCAAGATTTAGGAACTTTGGATCCTCTTCATTTTGAGAATTACTATAATAACCATGATAAGAATTTAAAAGACCTTTGATTATTGCATAAGTCAATGGAGGCCAGGCATTTGGGAAATCCCATTGTAAACTGGAATTAATCAATGTGACTGGTGGACAACCTTTGTACTTGGATAAGAGGGTTGATACAATAGAGAAAGATTTGATATTATTTTTCGAATCTGTGAGCATTTCTTTTGGTAATGATTGAGCCCTAGAAATAAAATAATATATATATATATATATATTAGTAACAATATTAGTAAGAATATTAGTAAACATATTAATTAAATCTTACCAAAATGGAAAATAAGTTGCCAGAGAAAATATTTTAGATTGAGTATTACTGGTAAGGTTATAATCTCTAAAAGTTCCAGTATTATCATCCCAAAGTAACTTGATCATTCCTTCAAGTCTTTCTTCTGCTGATTTCTTTAACCGTTTTACCGTCTCCTTTACTGTTTTCCAATCATCAACTTGTTTAGCAAATTCGGATAAAGTAATTTCATTCATATATAAAATTGAATTTAATTCAATTGGGATTACAGCTCTAGTATTTAGTGTACGAAGAATTTCATAGTTATTACTAGAACTATTAGTTGATGGTTTAATGTGAGGATTTCTTGCCCATCTCGAAGAGAAATCCCATCCTGATTCTGCAGCTGTTGCTATGTCCGAATATAATCCTTGTTTCACAGTTGAATTAAATGAATCCAATTCGACAGTAGTATAATCTTCAAGATAACTTTCAGGGCGTGGATAAATATTATAAACATCATAATGACTTAAATAAAATGTTTTATCATTTTTATGTACACTTATTGTATTATTTTTGTACCAAAAATCATATTCTTTGAGTAATGTTGGAAATGCTTTACGAAGGAGTAAAGTATCATTGGTAGCTTCGTAATAAATTTTCACCATTTGAGTCAATAATGGAGGTTGTGAACGATTTAAATAATATATTCGTGAACCATTAGCTTAATTAAAATAAAAGTTACTAATTAAAAAAAAAATAACTAAGATAGATAAATTAACAATTAATAATTAATATTTACTTACGCACAAATCCATAAATCTCTATCAAATCCAAAAAATTCTCAATCATATTCTTAGCAATTTCATATAATTCACTAACCAATAAACCTTCAATAACAAAATAACTATCCCAATAATAAATTTCTCGGAATCTTCCACCAGGTATTACGAAACTCCTGTTAACTGGGATAAAACTTGACACACATCCTGAACACATAAAGCTTTGATCAACTTTGCGTGTAAGATTTGGCCAATAATTATGTACTTGTTTTGCAAATTCACGAATAATTGGTTGTTTAATTTTTTCAAGAAAAGATGGAGACTGATTAAAGTTGGGAATTTCAGTTTGAATTAATTCTTGACCTTCTTTAGAAAAATAAGTGTTGACAAAATCTTGAAGTATAGATATAGATGCATTTTGAGGGAGTTTTGAACCAGCTTCGAGAACTTCCTCAAGTGGTTTCTTTGTTGGCTATTTAAATAAACCCATATTTAGATCAAACAAAAATTGATTATCTTTAATTATCTTTAATTATCTTTAAATAATCAACTTTACCATATCAACAAAAGTTTTTGAATCATTAAATAGGCGAGCTAATTGAATTTTTTCAAGAATTGGACCGGAACAATATATTGGAATATCACAATTAAGTTGTGCGCCAAAACCTACATTTATCGACCATATAAAAATGACCAACCAACAACTAGGTTTTTGAATTTGCATCTTTGCAGATTAAATTTTGATAGATATAAGATTTACTCGTGGCAAAGTTAAATAGAAAGTGTGTATAAAAAAAAAAAAAAAAAAAAGAAAAGTAAGAAACCAAACGTAATGATTAATCGTGAGGCTAATAAGCTTTTATAGATTACGTATGAGCCATAACGACGACGATAACGACAATGGATCGGTGGTAACCCGTTAAGAGTTAAAAAAAATGAATAACCAGTAGGAGTTGAAAAAAGGTAAAATGGCTTTGCTGGCTTAGCACAATAAACTTAAAAACTTTGAACTCATTATTTATATATATTTATACACATAATACACTTAAAGTTGGTACTCCAATACCTGTTAAAAATTTATTAACATTTTTGATGTATGCACGAAGATCCAATTTCAGGGGCATAATTTAATAGGTCAACTACATGCATTCATGCATTTACTGCATTTCAGCATTTACTGCAATTCATTGTATTCAATGCGTATAAATGGTTACTTTCACCCATGTGAAACAAAAAAATATATATTGTATCACTGTACAAATATAATATGCATAAATTCAAATATCCTAATTAGATTTGTAAAAAATTATAAATAAAGACGTGACGACTCCGAATTATTCCATGGAAAGTTAAGGCAAATTTTAATGGCTTTTTTTTTTAATAGTAATATTTTTATACAAATGTGTGTTGATAAAGAGCCGAAATCATAATTAAGTATAAGCCGCAAACAATTGTTTAGACATATATGTCGAAATAAAATCATTTAGTTGTTCCTTATAACATACTTATAGCATACATACATACTATATATACATATGTACGTATGTATAAATGTTAAGGAGTGACATACTTTTAATTTGTAATCATAAAGCTTTTTATTATAACGATAATAGCAAAAAAAGAACAGTTTTCTAAAAAAAAAGTCAGGCTGAATTACGAGAAAACAATTAGCCTATATATATACAAGTACTAATTTGTAAATCTGTGTAATATAACGACATAATTATATTTAAGGTTTACGTACATATACGTAAAAAAATTTCTATTTATAACGTATTTATTGTATATACATAACAAGTCATTTTCGGAGCATAGCAAATCATTACTCCCTGAATCGATGAACTTTTGATGTTGGCCGATGCTGGTAACTTATCGATTCGGTTTAGTGAATAATAGTTGCAGAAAAATTCGCGATCAAGTGATTTCGACCCATTTTGTATTTTGATATTACATTCTGACTGCGTTATGAAGTTCAGAACGATCAGAAACATTTGATCGCGAAACTTTTCTTTCCAACACTATCTTACCTTTCGTTTAGCGGCAATTTTTTAGAATTATGAAAATAACTGCTATTGTTCTCATAATCCGGCCAGGTCATGAAATTAAGGATTGAACCTAGGGTGAGTGGCACCAACCTACCTAGCATCACCCAAAAATCAGTTCCTAAATATCAGCACTCTGATAGGTTGATATACCGCATAAAAATTTTAATTAGTAATGCTTATCGATATATGGGATAATGAATTGCATAGTAACACTTATTAAGCTAATGAAAAACTTATTTTTGTTGGATTTATTAGGTTAAATTAATAAATTAAAAATCGAATAAATCAGGATTGTTTCAGGATTAGATTTTTTTTTTTCATGTATCTATCTGCTCACAAAACAATTAAAAAACTTGGAATTTCATCTGATACTTTGAGATGTTGATTAAAACAAAGAAAGTTATCTGTAAAGACATCTTCATCTGAGACTCATCTCTATGATATTTCTTCTTTTTTTCCAGAATTGATTACTTAAAATGATACCTCAACCATCTTCATTACTAAAAAGAAAGGTTTCTTGTATGCACATGTCTTGAGTAACAAACAGAAAGAAGATCTTGAAAGGCAAAAACAATTTCTCAGATCTAGATTCCACAATTATAAACTTATTAGTGACATTGGGTCAAGCATCAATTTCAAAAAAATGATCTTAAAATCTTATTGAAATAATCAAATAAAGGAATAGTCTTAAAAATTATGATTACTCACAAAGACAGATTATGCAGATTCACATATGAACTCATCAAGTATATTTTCTTATTATATTCTATAAAACTCATAGTTTTCTTTAACAAATCAAATTTCAATAAACATAAATTATTTTTGTTATTAATATTGTGTTTATTTGTAAAATGCAAAGACAAAAAGTTACAAGATACAGAAAAGAAAAAAAAAAGATGATAATTGTTTAAAAAACAAAGAAACAGAAATACAAAACAAGTTTAAACAGAACATTGATAATCAAAATGTATTCAAATCATTTACAAAAAAAAATTTAAAAAGATAATTTAAATTAACAAAATTTATTTATAATTTAGTTATAAAATAGAATATGAAGAGATGTTTCTTCAATGTTAATAAATAAAAAAAATAAATAAAACCTCAGATATTAAAAAATAAGTTAGAATTTTATTTGAACATTGAGAATGAATAATTTTATAAAACATGTATATGAAGTGAATGAAAATTTATTAAAAACATAATATGATTAGATCTTTGACTAAAAAATCTATATAACAAAGTTCTTATGAACATTATAGATAAAAGTATCAATGAAGTTCTAACTGCTAGAATGAATATAATACAAAACAATCTGAAAAATATCAAAAGTTTTTCTTGTCATTCAAATCAAAAAAAGATCTAAGGTAAATGATAAGTATTTATATTCAAAATTTTCAAAAAATATTTAAATTATTTCTACATATTTTATCTTTACAATTACAATTTTTTGAAACACAAATATCTTAAACCTAATAATATTATGATTAATAAATAAAATCTGAGACTTTTCTATTCAGAAAAAAAAAGAAAAAACAATAATTAGTCTTCTATTAAAATAGATTATAATTATAAACTCACTTACTTATATAAAACAAATAAATATATTTTTTATTGGGTTTATAAGAAGCAAGTATAAATTTGTAAGACACAAGATATAATTTATGCTGTCTTAATAGATCCTAGTATCAGAACTCCATTTACCTGGTATTCTTTTACAAAAGGTGTTAGAAAGATTGGTAATCATAATATAGTAGATTATACAAATACATAAATAACCTTATTTTAAAAAAAGATAAATTATTCAATTTTAAATCTAACTATAAGAAAAAAAGCTTTTTATTTGAACAAGCTAATACATAAAATAAAAAGAAAATCTATAAATTACAAAATAAGATTTATAAAAAAATGATCAAATTCTTAATAGACAAATTTGATATCTTTGTAATTTTATTTTTTAAAACATCAATATGATTAACAGAAAGACCAGAAAGATAAACAAAAAAAATAGTAAAAAGAATGTTAGGATAGTCTTATTACAAGTTTAAACAAAGATTAATCTTAAAATCTGAAGAAAAAGATAACAAAGTGATCTTTTAAAATGAAGCTTATACTTTAAAAACATGCAATTGGTATAGTAATATGCAAAATATCAGTAAATTAAAAATATACAATACAAAAATTATAACATTAAGATTAACAAAAATATAAACAGTATTTAAAAAATACTTTTTTAGGCTTTATTTAATGAAGCTATGATCTTATTATAAGACATCTTTATGCAGAAAATAGTAATTTTATTTAGTAATACTTAGTATTAATTACTATTGATATATTACAATCTATTTAAAAAATAAAGTATTAATATTTTTTATTTGTAAATTACATTTTTGTTTAATTTCTTTACATATTTTATAATGATAATAAATGTAAAATAATTATATTAAAGATATTTTTTTAATTGAATATGATTATTTAAAAAAACTTAATTAAACTTGCAACTTTATATTTATTAAATATATATTAGTAGCACTAAGGCTATGAATAGCAGCATCACAATGAATTTTCTTATTACTTTTTTTATAATTATTTTTAAATTATATAAATTAATAAATCGAAAGACTTCATCAGAAGTATATTTCTGATTTAATTTTTTTTATCTAAATGTTTAATATTGTTTATTATTTTAGTAAAAGCATAAGTAGTTAATATTAAAGTCTAAATTAAATTATTATATTTCTTTTTTATTTTAAATTTTCTTATAACTAAAATTAATCTTAACTATTTAAAAAATCTATAATTTATTACAAAAAAAAACTTAGAATATACAAATAATTATATAAATAAAATTGTACAAAAATTAAAAATTTATAAACTTATGTAAGTTTATTGCTAGTAAAAAGTATTTATATTATAGAATGTGGTGACCTAGTGAAGTAAACAAATTGTTAACTTCCAAGTAACAGATCTAGTATTTAAATCTTATAGATGACAAAATTTAGAAATTATATCTATATTATAGTAATTGTATTTGTTAATCAGTTAAATTAAAAAGATAATTTGTAATCTTAGAAATACTATCTTGAATAGAAGCTTAGAGCATTTATATAAAGTATAATAAAGCATTTATATAAAGTATAATAAAGCATCTATATAAAGTATAATGTTATATATATATATAGAAATATTAAAAAAACAATGTTATATAAAACTTAATACAAATTTATAATAAAATTATTAAACATATATTAAGAAACTAAAATATAGAAATCTACTTAAAAGGGGTGTGGCGACCTAGTGAAGTGGTCAGGTTGTCAACCCTCCAAGTAGTAGGTTGGATGTTCAAATCCCATCGATAACGAAAAATTTGAATAATTATCTATGTAATATTCATATTACGACAACTGTTACTAATGATTGGGTTAGGATACCTGTAATAGTAGTCGCACTAGCATAACTAGTAGGTCATGGGGCATTCGTGTAACAGGTCACATGACATTGTCCTTTGGGACAAGGTTGTGGTTACATGAAGGAATG